ACGACGACGACGTCGTCTACTCGTCGTACGACACACGACGACGCGACGCGCGACCGACGACCACTACGACGACGACACTACGCACTACTCTCCTTCTTCTCTCTCTCTCTCTCTCTCTCTCTAAACCAATTACACATACATTCGTCCTCTTTTCGTTTACGTTGTGCAATCCCCCTCTCTCTCTCTCCCCCCCTTTTCGGTTAAAAATATCATGCAGCATATCTTATCTTTGCTCTTTTCTTCTCTCTCTCTCTCTCTTTCTACCTCGTAGCGGGCCGGCCCAAGAAAACGCGGCCCCTCCAACCAAGCTTGTCCTCACCTTCAACCTCAAGCTAATAGGGAAAGTATTGTGCGCCTTCCGATGAAATGGACGTCTTAGATTTCTTGATATCAATGTAGACTCCTACACCGTTGATTCTTGCCGATTATTGGTTGATAGAAAGGAGTTAGATGAGAGGGAAGGATCCAAATGAGTAAGGCTAAAACATGGATTTGTCGGTAAATTCCCTGCTCTTCTTTGAAGTTGGAGGTGCACCAAAAATGAACGAATCCTTCTCCCTTTCTCTCTCCTCGCCACCACCTGCACCAAGAGAAAAGCTTTAGGGTGTAACTAACACCTGTTTCCGTCCCTTTTTCATCTTTTTTGAGGGGGAAAGGTGGCTCTCCATTTCCTCATTACTATTTCTTTCTTCTTTGATTTTCTCTCGACACTTTGAGGGATTTGTTTCTCTCTCTAGAAGTTGGTTATCTATTCTCTTAGGAGCTTGAGGGTGAGGCGATGGAGTTTCTTACAATCTCTTGAACTTTGTGGGTTCTCTTCTCTGACGTAGGTGGTGTCATTGTTTCTCCCTCTACTAAGGTGGTGGTGGTGTTTCTCTCTCTCTCTCTAGAACATCTCCTCCTCCCTCTCTAACCTCGTGGTTGTGGCATCTGCTGCTCTGTGTTTTAGACATGATAAACTCCATGTGTGGTAGCTTGGGGACACCCCCAAAAACCGAGAACCTTTCGCCCACCGCCTCCGTCGCCGATTCCAACACCCTATTTGATTTCGTCTCCACCGACCAACCCACCACAACGAGCCCATCAACCCTACAAAACTCCAACAAATTCGATTCCGACTTCGAAATCCACTCCCCGGACAGCTCCATATGGGAGTCCCTCTTTGCCGACCACTTGGACCAGGTAGTAGGCTCGCCAGACTTCATGATATGCTCTCCCAAGAGGGTCCCCACTGGTTCCGGTGGCCCCGACCACTTTGGCTCACCAATCCATCCATCAGAGTTCTACAGCCAGAGAACATCACAGAGTTGCAGTGTTCCTTGCACAGCTTCTCAGTTGATGGGGGCTTTCAGCAGCAGTAGTATGCCCAAGGCCAAGCCCGTGATACAAACTGTGCAGCAGCCCGAGAGCCCGGCGCTGCCTTCTTTGCTCGGGTATGGTTTGGATGAGGAGGGATCGATAACAGGTGGTTTCGTGCAGGGACATGCCGGTACTGCCGGGAAGCTGTCGCACTTGGCAGATGTCGGCTATGGTTCACAGTGCAGCAGCTTTGATTGTGGGCCTGCGACCGGGTCCAGGCCCAGGTCACGGGGAAGCCATGAGTTGTATATGAGCGGCAACAATGGTGGAGGTGGTGGTGGTGGCGGCGGTGGCAGCAATGTATATTCTCATACTACTCTTCCGTTGCAAGGACTCGAGCGCGGAGGGGTGAGTAATTCTCTTCAGGTAAAGATTTCATAAGACGTCTTCAATTTCGTTCTTACCGTTAATTCGTAAAAAATTTGATTATAATGATACATGCAAGACCGCATGCAAGGAAAAAGAAATGGTTCATCTCAGCCGTCCATTGTCGCAGCAGAAGGGCCTAGACAACTTTGTAAGAGATTGTATGGAGCAATGCTTGTGTATTGCATGCTACATGCTTAGCCCTTTGTCCCAATGATGAAAGGAAAATTATAGTACATACACAACTTCAAAAGATATAGGGCATATCCACCATTTGTCATCAACCATGGACGGTACAGATGAGTTGTTCTGCTTAAGAGCCATATCTCAGTGGACAACGGCTCATCTCCGCCTTCCATCGATGATGATCGACAGTGTAGCACTAATCTGTGTATCATGTATAGTATGCATTGTTGTCGCTACCATCCTTTCATTACAAAAAGTGAAAGCAGTCCGATATCCCCACTGATTCACCCCAAAAAACAAAAACAAAAACAAAAAAAAGTGAAAGCAATGCTTAAAAACTTAAACCATTAATCCCGAGCTATCAGAAATGATATCGAGCGGTTGGGCATGTATCATTGAAATCAAAGTCCAATCAAATATTCATTCGATGAATGGCACACACTCGTTCTACATCTGACGGCTCAGGGTGCTTGTAAGTTTATTACGAGAAATAATATTTTCATATTACATGATCGAGAGTAGAGTATTGAATATTGAAATTCTCTCGACTTCAAGGGATATGTGATGGCTTCAATGGTGAATCCCATAATCTCTTCATCACCGTCCAAACATCGGTTTCACCGCATGTCCCAGTGAAGAGGATCACAATAGCAGCCACCCTCGTGGTCATAAGTATATTATTATAGTGTACTTCCCATATCTTGGTGATCTTCCCTATTTTGCTCCTCGGTTTCCTCCTAAGCCCATTCATTTTTAAGGTCGAAATTCACCTTGGATAATATATTTTAGTTAGAAGAAGACTATTATTCTTTAAAAACATTCTTCTTGGGAAAGTATATTATCATTCGATGGATTAAAGAAAAGATAAATTAATCCTGGTATGCTAGGGAATCGTCACCTTTCTTTCGATTGATGGAGGGTGATTAATGGAAAGAATAAAACCCAACTTTGAATTGATGTCTTATTCCAAGTCTCTTTCCATCACCGTCGATAAATTGAGTGGACGATAATGACCCCACAAAGAACGTCCTACTCTCTTTCCATGACCATCCATAATTTGAGTGGACGATGATGGTTCATATTCCATGGATTATACTTGCTTTCTCTCCATGAAAATACTCCATGATGTGTACTGACGAGAGATCGGCCGTCCTATCATAGGAAATGAACGGCGGAGGTGGTGAAGGTAGCGGGTCACATGACAGCGGCCTGCAACTGGTGCATCTCCTCTTGGCCTGTGCCGAAGCCGTAGCGAAAGAAGACTACCCTGCCGCCCACCGTTGCCTCCTCCACCTCTCCCGTGCCGCATCCCCACTCGGAGATTCTATGCAGCGTGTCGCCTCGTACTTTGCCGATGCCCTCTCTGCCCGCCTCTCCCCACCCCCATCCCCTCAGCCTCAACCTGTTGCCCACCCTGCAGAGCTCCTAAAAATTTATCAAATTCTGTATCAAGCTTGCCCTTACATCAAGTTCGCACACTTCACTGCAAACCATGCCATCTTCGAAGCCTTCGCGTCCGAGACACGAGTTCATGTCATCGATCTCGACATCCTCCAAGGGTATCAGTGGCCTGCGTTCCTCCAGGCCCTGGCTGGCCGCCCTGGAGGGCCACCGGCTTTGAGACTGACAGGCAAGGTTCATAAAACGTTAAGACAACAGTTTTCACGACAGTAGCAGTGGCCACGAGTTACATTATATTCGATATTTTAAACGGGATGGGCTTTTTTTTTTCAAGAGACGTATAGGGAATTTATCTATATATGCTGTCATATTTCCAGCCGTTCGATCTGAATAGACGGTTAAGATGATCTTAATTATAATGTCACACCTAAATACTATTTTATTTTTAATTCTTTTATACATATTATATTGATACCAAATTTTGGGCGTTTAATCCTCTCTTAGACTCGCACTTAAGAAATAAATTAAAAAATATTTTTAAAATTAAAATAACCAAAATACCCCTAAAAGTTTTAGGGGCAGTTTGGCCATTTTATTTTGATACAAATATATTTAAGTATATATTTTAGGTGCACCTAAGTGAGAAGATCATGCGCCAAATTTCACTTTAATTTGATTTGTAAAAAAATCAAAAGCAAAATATTTTGAGCCATTAGCTTTAGATCAAAAAGTTAAGGCTCACTTGTGACTTTACAGCTAGAGGTGTCCCAATCCCAACCACTCATTCAAATCCCATGGTTGGAAGAGTGTAGCAGTATATAAATTCCCTATACATGGTGGCATATAGAAAGCTTTCTCTTTTTTAAAAGGATACGGTTTCTATATGAGTCTATGTAGAAATGAATCACATCTTAAAATCTGTTTTTGAGATGAATTTTTCGACTTAATTTTTAAGGACATGTAATATCTATCATGAATATCATGAATATGAAAAAATAAATAAATTTTAAAAATTAAAAATAATAATTCTATTAAAAAAACATTAGGACTGTTAGTTTCAATTGTTTTTAAATTGACCACTATATTTTTGAACCGCATATTGTAGAAAGGGCAAGCTTTCTATGCTTCCCCTACAATATAAAACTTATATACTTCTCTTTATCCAACCATCCATTCTAAATGGAGGGCTAAGATTGCTCCAATCACAATATCATGTCTCTACATTGTTTTATTTTTAATTTTTTTTATATAAATTATTTTCACACAAAATTTTGGGCATCCAATCCTCTATTAAACACGCACTTATAAAAAATATTAAAAAATACTCTCAATAAAATAAAATGATCAAAATACCCCTAAAAGTTTTAAAGGGTATTTTAGTTATTATATTTTATTGAAAATTTATTTTTAATTTTTTTTATAGGTGCACCTCAATGAGAAGATGACGCATACTAAATTTTATATTCATACAATTTATATAAAAAAATTAAAAATAAAATACTCTGAAGCGTCGGATCTAAGATCAAACAGTGAGTGGCTCACTTGATCAAAATTGGATGGTTGGATGGTAGGGGAAGCATAGATCTTCTATATTGTAGGGAAGTATAAAAACCTTTCCCTTGAAGAAATGAAACAATTTTCTTTTTTACAAATGATCACTGTATAAGTGAAAATATATAAAGCAGGGTTGTCTCCAATCGGTTGGACCGCTAACCTGAAAATATATAAAGCAGGGTTGTCTCCAACCGGTTGGACCGCTAACTCTGAGTTGGTTTAGTCCCTAAAACTTCAAATTTGTCATTTTGGGTGTCAATCCGTTTTCGTCGAGTTAGATGACTGGTCGCCCTACAGATATAATTGGAATTAACACTACTTAGGTTTGCAATCCGGTCCAGTTGTAATAACACTGTTATAAAGGTCAGCATGTTTTATTTGTTATACATTATGTATAACGATAGGAAAATATTAAGAAAAAAGAAAAATATGCAATATCATTTATTTTTGGTATAAGAAAGATACAATCCTTTTGTCCTTTTGGATTTCAAATCGGGTGGTTATGAATGTGTCTTTGACTAGGGTTAAAGTTTAAATAATATTTGTTCAAACTTTGTGATACACTGCAAGCCATCCAATTTAAAATCGGATGGCTAGGGATGCTTGTGGCCTCCTTGTATCAAAGAACATACTCATAGTATAAAATCTTTAAGAAAAAAAGTCACTATAATACCAAAATAATATAATGATATACGAAAGGGATTGTATATTACGAGTCAAGTTATTTTTTATACAAGGAGGTCACAGTCACTTTTAGCTATTGGATGTGAAATCTAATAGATGAAATTGTGTCACAATATTCTAAACATTTTATCTTTGGACTTTGTGCATAAACAATAACATAATTTCAAATATAATGGCCAATGATAATTGCAATCTTCTTGTATCAAAAGTAAATGGTCTCATTGTTTATATTTTCTAGACAAAAAAATGTTATATATAACATCTTCTATAAAAAATAGCCATATATGAAAATAGTAATATTTTGTTAAAAATACACTTTAAATAAAATCACAACTATGTTTTTGTGCATTTTAACATAAAATTAAAACCATATTTTGTAAAATACTCTGAAATAATGGTTTCTTAAATGATACTTAAAGGCTAATATCCGAACATTAAAAAAGGTGAACATGAGCATTCGGCCTTTTCCGTTTGTATACTAATTTTGGTGCTTGTAAACTCGTTCACAGGACTGGGATCGCAACTGGAGTTAGTACGGGAGACAGGGCGCCGGCTTGCGGACCTTGCCCACTCCCTCCGCGTGCCCTTCGAGTTCCATGCTGTGGCCGATCCCCTCGAAGAGCTCCGCCCACGTGCCCTCGGCCGCCGCATTGGCGAGGCCCTTGCCATCAACGCTGTCAACCGCCTCCACCATGTCGCCCCCCATGCCCTTGGCCCCCTCCTCGCCCTCTTCCGCGACCAAGCCCCCAAAATCGTGACCCTCGTCGAACAAGAAGCAAGTCACAATAGCCCCTATTTTCTCAGTCGATTCCTCGAAGCCTTGCACTATTATTCTGCAACTTTCGACTCTCTCGATGCTACTTTCCCCACTGATAGTCCTCAGAGGGCAAGAGTTGAGAAGTTTATTTTTGCAGCCGAAATTAATAATATTGTGGCTTGTGAGGGGGCGGCAAGGGTGGAGAGACATGAAAGACTGGAGAGATGGAGGAGAGTGATGGAGGGGAAGGGGTTTCGAGGGGTGCCATTGAGCGCGAACGCAGTGAACCAGTCAAGGATGTTGTTGAGCATATACACTTGCGACGGGTATCGGCTTAACGAGGACGCCGGGTGCCTGTTGCTCGGTTGGCAGGACCGCCCTCTCATCGCAGTGTCGGCATGGCGGTGCTGATTAACCGACTCTGTGATCCCTGCCCTTTCTCTCATAATTCAGTCGTCTGTATTTAGATTCTCCTGACCGTCTCTGTAGTCCATTTTATTTCTTTCTTCAGGCATTTGTTCATTTACATTACAAAATAAAATTTGGTCATTTATGTATAATATCGACTCAATGAAGTATATGAGGGAGCCGTTATCTCTTTTGCTTCTGCAAGCCAGTTGGCACCCAAGTTTATTTGTAATTCCAGATGCTGGGAAAGCTACGGTGCATATTACGGGTACAGTATAGTCAGGGTTAGCACGGCCCCATTGACGGGTGTCAGGACCACTCAACGATCACCGTTCAAATCATGTGACGATCGAAGGCTGTCCTATATTATTGATTTATTTCCATGTTCTCATATTTTACCTCATACACCAACTGTGTGTGGAATTAGTAAATATACCCGACCAGGAGAGTGACCTCCAGGAGAGTGACCTCCTGATCATGGACTGTGGAACGTACCCGACCATGAGACCAAGCTCGTGATCATGGACGGTGGGGCTAAGCCATTCCAGGCGTATATCAGTCATTGTGGAATATAGCTGATCTCCACCATCCATCATCCAAAACGGATGGAAGATCTATGACTGGTGTAACATATACCATACATTAGTGGTCTATACAAAGGGCTCGCCTACTTGCATACAACAGTGTTTCAAAGATCGCATGTTCCACTGGAGACTCGCCTGAGGCAGACTGAAAAAGGAGGCCCCGAAACTCGAGAATTGCCCGAGTCTCCTGGTTTTCCAGTAATCAGTAAGAAACCAAATGCAGGCCAATCCGAATCGCACTTGCTCAAAGTTGTATCAAGGACACTCGAGTCCCTGCAGGATTAGATGCCAATTCAAATTCTTCAAACACCACGTTAAAAAATTATTGAAAATATCCCTATATTTTTAAAAAATCAAAAAATATCTTATTCTCTTCAAATATACACCCATACCCTTTCTTCACAAGTTTTTTAATGCCCAAAACAAGTCTTTACAGACCTAGCAACTTCACAAGGGTCTGAACCATACAATTGGGTGCACGGGCTTTACGGATTCTGGGCATTAAAAAATTACCACAAAAAAAAAAAGCTATGGGAATAAATTTGAAAAACTAATGGTATTTTTTTAATTTTTAAAAACAAATAGATATTTCAATAATTTCCAAAAAATTAAAAGGTTGATCTTTTACCGCGCACGTTTTTAAAACGCCTTGAAAATATCTCCTTATCTCCTAGTTTTTAACTTCCATATCTTATGACACCCAAAAATTGAAAATATTACTTGTAAACAAAAAATCTCCATCTTTTCTATCTTACAACCCCTGAACCCCTTTGACTATAAATTTTTTACCCAAGCAAACATTAAAATGACACTCTATCCAAACTTCATCTCTCTCTCTTCACTTCTCAATGAATTTACCATCCAAAAGGTTTTAACTTGAACTCGAACATGAACACACCTTATGTATAAAAAAGAGATGGAGTTTTAAAAAAACAGAGATGGAGTTCAAGTTTTAAAGAGAAATAGAGTTTCAAGTTTTAAAGAGAAAGAGTTCTGATAGGGAAACGATAATGTGAGAGAAAGAGATAAGAGTTTAGATTTTCAAGAGAGTTTTGAGAGAGACAATAATGTGAGAGAGAGAAAGAGATAAAGATAGAATCATTTCATAAGTTGTTGAGGTCAATAATACATTCAAAATGATTTAAGAGGTTGGAAGATAAATAAAATAAAATCTTATTACTTACAAATAATATTTTCAATTTTTGGATCCGATGAAATATAGAAATTAAAAATAAAAGATAATATGATATTTTCCCCTTTTTTTTTCTTTTTTTCTTTCCTGTAATATTTCTTTTGGTGGGTTGGTTGGGGGGGAGGGGGGGGATGGGGAACACTTGAGGCAGCTAAGACCATTCCGTTCATTCAAAAACTCGATACCTCTTCAAAATATGCTAACAGCACAGATACACTGATAATTTACAATCCTCTCTCTTTCAAAATGGTCAGAAATTTAGGGTTGGAACTCATTGGCTTCTCAAAAAGAGATACAAAAGTTTTGTGCCTCAATCCCTAAACTTCAGGTTTGAATCCCCACCAAGCATACATAAAAATAAAATAAATAAAAAAACAACGAATAAAAATTTGTAGACAGAGAAAAATGCAATGAATAATAAACCACGGGTGGCCCGCGGACGGGACAATATACGATCTTCATGGTTGTTACAAGCATTACAATTACATGGCTAGAGTAGCAACAACTATTAGAGCAGTATAAGCTCTGGAAGAGTCTATAGAATGGCACAACTGCAAAGACTCTTCTTTGGTGTCTCATCCACCTTTTTTTCTGTTCACAAGAAAAATTTTTTATAAGTAATGCATCAAAGAATAATAAAAAGCAAAAATCCTAGTACAGAATTTTCATGGACTAAAAACTCAGGAAGTGGCTGAAAACCTAATTTACCGTTGGACTCAGCGAGTTCACTCGTTTTTTGCAGTAGTCTTACGGGTAACTGAGTTTCAAGTTTTTTGTACACTGTTTTTCAATTATTGCATTTGTTTCTGTAAATGTTTTCAATTAATAAATGATTACGCTGAAATTACAGCATGGATCCTAAATCTTGGTCTCAAATACCTGGCCAAAACTTTAGTATCTGAGGGACAGCTTATGCATCTTTTCTGTCTTAATCTTATACACATAAACCAGTTGGCAGATATAGAAATTCATTTACTCCTACATCCAAGAGATATTACTAATCCAAATTGACCAATCATGATTAAAGACAGAATCAAATTTGCGTGAAGTTTCAAAAGAGGAGTTCTTGCTTTCATCAAAAGGGAAGGAGTGGCATTTTTTTTTTTTTCAAGCCATGCAAAATGTGACAAATTAAGAAAACACGACAGAAGGCATCCATTTATCATTAGATAATAAGGAAGAAACAAGTATGGATGCAAGTTACAGGCATACAGACTTAATTTTCTCAAAAATAACCCTAGAAGCCTCCATCAATTCCTCAAATATGCTAGTATATCAAGTGAATTCATGTCAACTAATCCCAAATTCCAAGTTTGTAAATATATTTCTTATTAACACGAATATGAAGAATAATAGTTTTATTCTCAATGAAAATTGGAACAAAATTATCAGAGAGAGAAACCAAAGTTCACTAGCTCTTAAATCATCAAAAGTAACAAGAATACAAGCAAAGAGAACAGTAGATATTTGTCTCAAGTTAGCATCACATTTAGCACATGGCAGGATAGAAGAAATTGAAAGGTCAAATCTATAGATACTTGCGACCATTTTTAGTTACAACAGGATAGAGAACACTGCTACCCTTTAATGTCATACCAAGAATACTCCAGAAATTAAAAATAGTTTCAAATAATGGTTGAAGTTTTCTTTAAGGGTGGGTGAAATAATGGCTTAAGTTGAAACAGATCAATAAAGCGGTTTGAGGGTTTAGGTTCTCAGTCTGAAATACCTCCACGATTGACTCCAAAAGTTTCAAACAGTTATGCCAGCATTGTCACATGTTCAAATAATACCTATTTATCTTGCATCTTCACTAAAAAGTAAAAGCTTTCTTTACATGTTACAGTAATGGGTGAAATCCTTTCAACTCCTGCAGATTGATGCCACGAGGACATTTACATCTCCTATCTAACAAAGCATCATATTAAACTACCTGACAAGGAGTGTATGACTTCTCGTTCATGAATAGAAGTGTCTCGACAGTTTCCAAACACAGTGATTCGACACAATTAAATGTCCAAGATAGAACAGGAAGAAATACACATATCAAGGGATCCATCATCCCTCTTTTCCTTGCTAGCTCAATTCGATAAAAAAACTAAGAATCAGATCATAATTACTCCTGAGTTATTTTTAACAGGTGGCTCTAGTTTCTTTTAAGCAAAACGGAGTGAGATAAACTGATTCATGAACATGCTCGACAACAGCAAATCCTCGAAAGCATGATTAAACATGCTTGGAGATCGACATAGTAAAGATCAGCGCAAAAGATGTTATTCATCTCCAGTTCATATTAACCTTGCCACCAAGCAATTAATGATCTCGTATGTACATTTTTAAATGAAAATTAACAAACCTGTCTTTGTTCTTGCTACAGATGGCTGCACAACAACATGCATGGTAATCCCCCCACCAGGAAGTTCACCAAAAGGTAATCTGGACTGTGCAATTGTCTTATTGTTGTCCAAGATTTTTCCAGCACTAATGAGTTTTATGTCATTAACTCCCTTCGGTGCAACCTTTTTATCTGAAACAAATAAATATATCTCAAATACCACACAACGTACTATATAGGCGCCAAATTGTATATAAAACTGAAAGAAAAGTATAGCTCTAAGAGAAGAAACGTTTCACCACTAAGATCTAATTATGAAAAATATGTTGCACCAATGCACATAAAAAACTTTGATAGCTGAAACATCTTACAGTTCAAAGGCCAACAACACACAAAATGTTACGATGATACAAAGCAACCCAATATGCTTAAACCTCTCCATCTCTCCATGAAATTTCATTCCAATCTAGCACATGCCCCCAAACCAGTTCCCCGTGCACAAGCTGCAAGCCTAAAACACCTTGATCATACTAGCATCACCCCCAAAAACTGCAAAAGTCAATATAATGCATATTCCAAGTTTCCCTTTCCTTATGGTTCATACATCAAATTCCAGTAGATATTAGCTAGAATTGTTAGAAATGTCAAAAATTGGAAACCTCTGTCATGCTTAACTATCATCTAACAAACAACTTCAGATGTAGTGTTGCCAATGTCAACTTTTAACCATTCAAGCCCAAGCCCAATTCCTATGATGTAATAATTGCCCTCCAGGAGATCCCTCTTAGTTCCAGCCAACTTTAGATTTGATTAATGAGTGTCTGATATGGGAACATCTGTAGAATTCATTGACGTTGAAACATGCAATATGGGATCCAAACGGAAGCAAAGACTTGTCTTTTTTCTTGTCTTGTGGGAACCAAAGGGGAAGTAAAGAATTATTTCAGCACTAATCCCAAACCAAATCGAATGCAACAAAAACTTCTTTATTTCATCATGATCAACATACAAACTGAGGAGCATATAGGCTTTTAAGTAAAAGGATTAAGGCCCTATTCTCTGTGGGAGAAAGGGTAGATATTTTTGAGGCCATTGAGTAAGTTGATGTTTGCATGTACAGTTATCAGGTACCATGCCGTACTGGCCATGGTTCTCTCATGTGATGACGTGGATCTGTCAAAGGATTGCCACCTTCCCACCAATTTCTTTCAAGTTGGACAAAGACTTTTCCAACCTGCAAACATTCACAGTGAGATAATTCCATACAAAACCAGATAACCACTCTTAGGTCCAACATTTTAAAGCATATGTTTCCAAGATCGGACACTAGCTGGGCCAAACTGACAAACTGTTCCATGGTGAGAACATCTTTTCCGTCCATCCACAGTTTTTTCCCTTATAGTTAGCCACAGATTGGACAATAGACACGCAGAATCAGTGAATAGAGGTGGGTAAAGAAGAAGAAAAGTGAGGGCCAGACAAGAAGATGGGAAGTCAGGGCCCATTTAAAACCAAAAAGTATGGATGTCCATCGTCTAACACACCCAAACACATGTAGATTTCAAGAAATAACTACCATGATCCTTCAGAGCCATATCCACTACAATAGCAATGAAGTGCTCCTAAAATGGGAAACAAAATGAACAGACAGCCCTCCAGCTGAGGAAGTAATCATTTTGGCCTGGTTTTGTATAAGTTTGTAACAATAGTCCACCCTAAACTGCTTAGTTACCTACTAGAAAGATCAACTGACCTTCTTGTCTTCCAGCTCCCCATTATAGAATCTTAAAAGAGAAGCAATACACAACACATGAACAGCTTCTGCCCCAATCTGTCAAACAGAAACCAAAGCAAACTATAGACGAGGAATACATCACGCCACCGGCTACAATAAAATTTGAGGAACTTACAGAACGGATTAAAAAACATAAAGAAAAAAATGATAAGGGCTTTAGCCTTCGACAAGTCATCACATCGATCGTTGTTGCTGAGAATAATGAGAATAACTAGACAAATAATAAGACCAGAAGTTTCATGAGAATATACAATTGCTCCAGGGCATTCTGCCCAGGCGTATTCTCATATTCTGAGCAGATCTCAAAGTGCAGAACACAAGTAGAAGAATGAGTGAAGATTCCTCTCAATTCCTAGTCCCCCCCACATCCTTGAGAATGTGAGGCAACTCTGCACCATATCTCTAGTTATTTCACATGCCGCATCCTAGAATAAAACTTGCTTTTGCATTCCTTGCAAAACTTGCAATACATTGTTTTTCCTTCTACTTGCTCGTCTAAACCAGCAGCCGCAGAAGCAACTCAGCCCTCTCAGGCGAGTCAGAGTCAACTTCCACGAGTCCTCTCCAAGTCGCCCAATTCGCCAAAGAACGCAGAAAAATACTAAAAAATTTGGGAAAACCTCAAACATACAAAAAAATACAAAATAAAAAATAGGACATACAATATTATGAAAAAAAAATTGTATGTGCCAACATTATCAAATAAATATTATGAAAAAAATGATGTTGTTGGGAAGACCTAGGAAAAAATATTTCATCTCTCAAATCTGCCGGATTTGATTCTTTTTTACTCTCTCAAAGGTGACCTATCTAGTGGATATGTCGTGCAAAAATGAGTCTATGGAAGAAATATGAGCTCAAATCAGTCTCTCTAGGCTCCCTATGGTGAAAACTGGGCAAAAAGGGTGCAGATCCCTTTAATACGATTTTGAGCATAGTACTCGTGTGAGTACTGCAGCGACCCGCCCGAGTACTGCAAAAAGTAGGCAAGTCAGCCAAATCCTGTAGCATTTGAGAAAGTCTCTACAGTAATTGCCCGCTATTGTATATGCCTTATATGCGGGGGGTGCTCTGGTTCTGCAAGTTGCAGAGCTTGAGCAACTTAGGCAAGTCTGAGATGAATTGTCCGAGTTGGCGAACACTGGTCTGAACATTATAGCATGAATTTCCCCATGGTCCCTTTTATTTTTCTTAAATTCACTTTTCTGCTCTAATAATAGTATAAGAAACTACCTAGGAAAAGAGCACATTCTAGCAGTCAAGGAGGTTGCTTATCACAAAAAGAGCACCTAGATAGTGGTGAGCATCCCACACGCCAAACTCAAGGTTATAAAGCTCAACCCTTAACCACTGAATCAGTAAATTCATTAGCTTAGTGAAAAAACCAGGCATCTCAAAAATATCCAAAGTCCCAATAGCCACAAAGCTCCAAGGTAAATGGCAAATCACTTCAGGTACATCAATGTTTTATATTCAACTTAAAGATTTTAATGTCTCAAAATCATTCAAACTGACTCATCTTAGTCAAGTCGAGTTGATAAGGTTCACTTCCTGTCATTTGTGGGGGGGAAATAGACCTCTCTAAATTCCCTATATCCTTTTCTTTAGTGGCAAATTCAACTACTGACAAATTTATGAACAAAAAAATAATACACCATACTTTTCAAATTTTTAGAATGGATCAATTTTGTAATATAATACTGATTTTGACTAGATAAATATAATGCTACATACCAAGGGAACCCACTCAAATAGTTGGGATTCGTGTACCCAAAACCAATTATATGGGATAAGGCTCAGATGATAATGAAGACGACGATGATGATAATGATGATGACCAAGGGAACCAACTCAACATGCCCACAAGAAGCAAGACATTGTCTGAGGATGAGAAAGCAGTGCAGAAAAGGCCTTCTATCGAATAAATATGGCAGGCTGAAGCGCCGGACTGAATTGCATATCGTCCTCTACCTAGCTTTTATTGCTGAATAAGAACAGAATACAACAGATACATTGCAGGGTGCAAAATGAGATGCAAGGTAATAGATGGTTGAAAACACATTACATCTAGTCGATATGGCATTTAAATAAGGCAATTGTAAAGGATAAGTAGAAAAGGATAGTGCATCGAATTTTAATGAATATGTTTGTGTCGTTTTATTGAATCAGTAGGGTATGGTGAGAAATTGAAAGGATAGAAGCTCTTTTGATAAATCATGAGGATAGAACACGGTAAGGTGAAGAATTGCTAGGATATATTTGTTATATTGCAAGAATAGAAGCTAGTACAAACAAACGTGTATGTATCTTAGGATTTTCAACTGAAACTAGGATTTATAATTGACTTAAATTCCAATTTTATGAACAAGATAAGGAGTACGAACCCCCTGATTTCTTTGAGAATAGTAATTTGAAACACCATGCTTTTCATTATCAACATCCAGAGCTCAATAAGGATCAAAATGCCATCCAACATGCAATAACCATTTTGAATGAAGAACGAAAAGAAATAACAAAGATGAATGAAGTGGTTTCAACATAATCCTAAAAATATACACAGAGAAGCACAGACAAAAGGGCCAACAAAAGAAGTACAGAAATCACCACGTACGGCACTGGAATTAACATTTTTTTAACAAATTATATAGTCATATCACTATGAAGAAAAGAAAACCGAGTAAACCAATACTCCAGTAAAGAATCAAGCTTATACCTAAACGATTATAACTAATTGCAGAGATTGGACATGGAAACACAGTTAAAAGTGAAGCGCACATTCTCTAACCTCGCGGCCATTCTGAAACAATCCTTTCCTTCAGTGTAGCAATCGTCGTTGACTGAGCATATCGTATCGGTCCAATATCAGATCCATCATAGAGGCGAAACTTCAGCTCAATCAGATCTTCTCCTGCCATTAAAGCTCTCTCCAAGGCCCCGATAAAGCAAAACTCCACAAAACAATCCCTCCAGTCACAGTCTCAAACTCAAACTAGGGTTTCTCCGCAACTCAGACTAGGGTTTCCTCAGCAACAATCACGCGCAAATGAACATCTGGATCACAAAACAGCAAAAGGAAACTCAGCTGAATTTCGATAAAGCTTTCAGGGAAGCTTCAGAGCCCAGAACCGAGTAAAAACCCAAAAAGTACCTCGAAAATCGAAGTGCATCGATGTCAGTGAAATTCGATGCAGGGGAAAAGAGGCACCTGATGAGTTCCTTATAATTAGGGCTTTAGAGAGAGAAAGAGGGATTCGAACCAGGGATCATGGATGAAAGAGATAGAGAGAGAGAGGTGAGGCTGTTAAAGTTCGTACTAGGGTTAGAGAGAGAGAGAGAGGTGAGGCCGTTAAAGTGTGTTCTAGGGTTAGAGAGAGAGAGAGGTTATAGTGAGAGAGAGAGAGAGGTTATAGTGAGAGAGAGATGGGTTTTGTTTCAGTGATGGGGTCGGGTTGACCAGATGGCGAGCATGGGTCCTGACGCGCGTGCGTGCCTCCGCGCTTTCGAAATGGGCGGTTAGCGCGTAACTCTGCTGTTTAAATATAGCAATCTAAGTGAAATTATACAGGAGAGCAGGGCACGTAAAGGAAACGTGCGAAAATGAAATAAGCCACCAGGTTACATGCTCCCGCGGGAGCACATCATAGATTCACCCTTGGGTGTCAAATTTTGAGTTGTGTTCTCTTTAACCTTTTAAAAAAAGCCATGGAGATCTCAACCTAAGGAAAAAAAAAAAAAAAGGCCAGGGTCCCGTACCGTTTGAACTTTAAAAAATTAAAGGAAAAAGTTTATATGGAGTTGAGGCTCCAAACAATCAAATTGGAGCCCAATTCAAAAGTTTCACTAGAAGAGGTTGTCAATATCTTCAAATTAAATTGATCATCTCGATATCAAGATGCATAAACATGTGAAAATAATGGATTTCAAGTTTTAGAAATAGTACATCTTGTAATATATTTTTTTACCGTCAATTTTCAAAATTTTCAAGTTTTCATAAATGTTCAATCTATACAATTTTTTAAGCTTGAATTTTTATAATTAGATATGAAAATATATTTTAAGACTATCACAGAGATTTCTAATATTCAAAACACATCTATCGACACTATTTGAAAATTACACTTTACTTTGATTGTTTAGAACCTCGGCTCCATACAAACCGCACCCAGCCATGAAAAATTCAACCTTCAATAAAAAGCGAGGGTTCAATAACGTGTTAACTTTAAAATTTTAAATAAGTCGCGCGTAAAGGATGAGATTTCTATAAAGACTAGGTTTTATGAAAACAAAATAAAGTCTCACCTCACATCCTCGTCCACTTACCACTTTCGGCAAATAAAATCTTTATGATGGTTCTAAAATCAATTTTCAGCACCAACAAAAACTAAAAAGATAGTATAAATCTTGTGGATCTGTAAACACGTATTTTTAGGGTGAAATGGACTGTCTAGATAATTTGTAACAACTATACGCTATTTTTAAAGCTTTAAATCTTAATTTTTCTTATAACCATAATGTTCAAGTCTAGATGATAGATGTAAAGGTTTTCCAATTCTTGAATTGTAATTTTGGATGAGTTATGATGTGAGGCTTTACTTACTTTCATAGGGCTGCAGCCCTATCAAACCATTTTCCTTTGTTATATGATGTATTCTAGTTATCTATTTTTATCAGTAATTATAAAATTTAAAACTATAAAAATGGTGTAGATAAATAAACACTTTAAATTTTTGAAATTGACATATTAAGATAATGAATTATAAAATTTATTATGTTTTGGACGTGAAATCTTTTTTCTTTTGCATATTCAAACATCTCGAGTTCGAGATAATTAATTTTATAATTTTTTGGCGTGTCGGAACAACCTTTTCATATAAATATTTGAGGTGCACCTTATTATAAAGTACAAGGGTGACACTACTTTATGTAAACTTTTTCCTATGTGACATTAAACTTAAGGTTTGAATTATTTAACATCTTACCCATATTCTTTAATCAAATTTTAGATACCCTTTCAATCTTTTGATCAAATCTTAAATAGCCAATCAAATGACACATCTTCGTGGGTTCCAAAATATATCAAAATAACATAATGTAAAATATTAGAGTTCAAATTATAGGTATATCTTGATAAATTCTGCAAAAAAAAACTGTATGTCCCTAAAATAACTAAGATTGGAGAGGGATGCACATATTTTGGAGGTCAAATCTAAATGTTGAGTTTCAAATTTGATAATTTTTCAGAAAATGCTAATCTGGTTATTTAATAGTGAACTCCAGAATTTTAGACAAAAGAAACCCTGATATATAGGTCCCTTGCCTTGAAGAGTTTATGTATCGTTTGCTCTCACCAGGCACTCGATAAATCAACAATAACTTGATCCATTTGATTATAAGAAACATAAAGATATCATAACCATTTGATCATGGAAAATTTATGGCCATAATAGATTTATTAACATGCAACTTACTGATGGACGGTGATTAAGACTTGCTACATGTGTCCGATACGGTTGCATGTTCTCTTCATTTGATGGAATAGTTGGAACTTATGATACTTATGAGTTATGACCATTGCTGTGTGCTCACATGGATCATGGAATATGCCCTGCCATGATATCTAAAGAACATAGAAAGACATTGTTTATAATTGTGTCATCACCGTAAAAACACTCAACGAATGGTGAGATAGAGAGAGTCTTCTCATGCTCTGATGGGTCTCACTTTCAGCCATCTCCGTCCATCGACTAATCAGACATTGGTACTCGGTATTGTTTTTCTACGACAATATAGAGCAATTTACTATACCATTCAATTAACATTTTCTAGGTCATCTCTTCTTTTTCTTTTTTTCTTTTTTTTTTTGTTGGTTTTACCTGAGGGCACCATAGGGTATTCGGGGCTTAGTTATAGTTTTAGTTTAATTAGCTATCAACTTTGGGATATTTTTTTCCATCATTAAATAATATGAGGTTACTATCAGCTTTAGAATATATGGAAAGGTTTTTTTTTTTTCCTTTTTCAATTTTGGAGCGTAGGTTGGATTCTCTTATATAAATATCTCTATTTATATATGGTGGATTATTTTTTGAATGCAAGTATCAAATTTTCTTATAAAAGGAGTGGCCAACATTCAACTTGTAAAGATGTTTGATAATATCTGAATATGGTATGTGTTGGCATTATTTTGTTAAGTGTCAAAACCTTGTTTGGTATGCAAACATATCCATGCTCAAAAGTATATTTTGAAACAGTCTCTAAAATGATATAATGAAGACATGGCGTGGAGTAAACTTTACCTAGTTAGAGGTTCTAAATTAGGGGTCATGGAAATTGATGAAAGCTAACTAAACAAATCTTAAAACAGCCTTTGTTTCAAACCTTTAAAAGATTGTATAAATGCATCATCATCAGAGTCTTTTCTCAATTAATTGGACTCACCTTTTTCCAACTAATTACGGTTAGCTATACGAATCTTGATCCACCATTATGCTCTATTAACGGCCATACCTTGTAATTATTTTGTAACTTTGTGAGTGCCCTTGTTGCATGTGCCTCCCAACCACCTCCCCCTTCCATTCCCATCCCCCCACCATCAAGAGTGGAGATAGGGCTACTAATAAGGCTACCTAGCCTACGACCACTTGATTGGGCTTAACTACGGCCCAGTTTGGATTTGACACACACTAGGCCCGAACAATTGGGTTGGGTTATCCTTGGTTTGGGCTGAAAAGTTATCTAATACACATTCTATTGAAAGTGATGATTGATGAGATAAAGGTTATATAAAGGAACATATTCAACAAGATCATGCAGTAGGCCCAACTTTCCCAAATGCCAGCCGCCTGGCCTTTCTCCATCTTTTTTGACAAAAGTTTCTTACTTTATTAAAGAAATCTACTCAAAGGAAATTACATCAAAGGAAACAACAAGAGCAAGCAAAGAGGCCCCTCATTTAGCCAGAGATCGGCCAAGGAGTTCACCTCATGATAAACATGGCAGAATGAGACTAAAAAATGAGCCACCAGGTCCATAATCTGCAATCAAGAAGACCTCGACTCTTATTGAATATGTTACTCATTCTTGCACCATTTAATAACATTCAAATAATTCCCTTCAATGATGCAATTATCCCCCAAATTTCTAGCAATAAAAATTTTAATCCCTTGCAACAGTGTCAATAACTCTACTTGGTTAGCGGTGGCTAACCCAATAGAGCCAGCATATGAGAAGATAACATCTCCAAAACATTCACACACCATATCCCCAATACCAGCCAAACCTAGATTACCCAGAGAGCTCCCATCAAAATTTAACTTAAAAGCCAAACCTAGATTACCCAGAGAGCTCCCATCGAAATTTAACTAAAACCCCCACACTCTGGTGCCACTCAAATACACCTTAGTCTCATCTTAACTCTACCCATCAACAAAATATCAGGTTATGAAATACCCCAACCCTCTTTAGTAATCGAGAACCAATACCAAATAGACAGTTTAACATTGCTAGGCAATTTGTCAAAAGAGTGACTCTTACCTTCAAACGTCCGCCTATTTTTTTCTTTTCAGAGTTCCCAAATAATAGCCCCTCTCGCTATTTGCCAAACCAAAACACTCATAGAAGGTAGATGATTAAAAGCTAAATGAGACGCTAAGCCCAACACTGATCGGGGAAGAGAAGCTTGAACCCCAAGAAGCCCAAACAACTAATACTAAATTCTAGAAGCAACATGACGGTGGATAAAAAGATGATCACTGGATTCCTCATCCGCTTTACATATCAAACAAATGTTGGGTAAGATTTTACCCCTCTTAATCAAATTGTCCACTATCAAAATTTTATTTTAAATAGCTAACCACAAAAAAACCTGCACCTTATGGGAGATAGGTCATTTCCACACTTTGGTAGCAGCAGGTGAAGACCATCTCCAACGATCTTGAAAAAAAAAACCGACTGAGAAAACCCCATCGCATTCAACTTCCCAAATCACTTCATCCAACGCCCCCTGTGAAATATAAGTCGAGTCCAAAATACCCATCCAATCATTCCATTGAAGATGAACCTCTTCACTCAACCTATCATATGGAAAATTAATACTCCAAGCACCACGATTACCTCTCACTTCAACCATATCCAAAATCTTAGCATTGGGTTGCGAGACTTTAGCAAAAAGTTAGGGATAAGTAAGCCTAAGAGGAGCATCACCTATCCACTTATGATACCACAATGATATGTTATCACCACATCCCACATTTCAGTGAAAATAACTGGCAATCATTGGCCTGCACCTGTAAATAGCCTTCCACAAAGAAGACAACTATGTATT